GCAGCTAGACATAGGGAAGCTGACATGGGGAAGAAGGGTCAATAAAAGGTATAGTTCACCCAAAAATGTAAATTCTGTCATTATTACTCACAGAGAACACAAACTTTGATATTTTTGCTAAAATCTGGGCATTGTGTGATCCCAGGGCCGGAGTGGGACTCCTTTTCAGCCCTGGAGTTTCAAGCATTAGCACGGCCCACCTCAGTTCACGAGGTGGAGGCGCTCTTTGAGCTCGCAGATGTCCAAGACAGTTCTAGGAGAAAAAAATACCTAACCACTTTGTTGATGGACATTGGCTAAGAGATTTTAGATTGACCAAAACAACATTTCAGGTGTTGTGCGATGTTGTCGCTCTGCTGGTTTGTCCATCAAAAATTGTCAACTTACATGAGAATTTTTTGATGATTGCAGAATGCTGGAATTTATTTGGTAAATGTGTTACCATCATAGTTCATGTGCAATTTCTTCTTATTGAATAAAAAGTTTATCCTACTTTATTCTTTGTTTTTCATTAAGCATTTTTATGTATAGTCCAAAATGCGCATACAAATAGGTGGATGGAAACTTACCTAATGACAAGCTATACTTTCTCCAAACTCACGTCATAAAATGTGCAGGACAATTGCAGCTTTGCTCCTTTGTGTTTGCAATTTCATTTTGATTAATCACCCATATCTAATCCAGGTCTGTATGAGATGCACAGTGTTCTTGGTTTGGAACAACATGAGGGTGAGTAAATAATAATAGAATATGAATTTTTGAGTGAACTTTGAGTGTCCCATTAAGCAACTTTAAATGTGGAATGAGTGTAGGTGCCAGACAGGCTTGTTTAAGAATTTAGGAAACTACTGATACTGAGTTTTTTCACACACAGCCATCTCTATGGTTTACAGAGAATGGTCAGAAATAAGAGAAAATATTTAGTGAGTTGCAGTCTCCATGGAAAATGCTTTGGCAGCGCCATTGGTCTGAGGTGAACTTTTGGTTTAAGCTAACAAAAAGACAAAAAAAATCTTCTTTTCAGTTATAGCTACTCTGAACACACAGCACAATAAACCTGGAAGCAGGTGAGCTACAGCAGCAGAAGAAGAGCACACCAGTCATACTCTTGTCTGCTAATACTGCAAACTAAGGTTAAAATTCACAAAATTGGCCTACGGAAAACTGAAAAAGTTCGCCTGGTCTAAAGAGTCTTGCTTACTGCTGCAACATTCCGGCAGAAAAATGTGTCACGTCATAAAGCTCAAATAATCGCAAAATAAAACAACAGTGAGTTCAATACACTCAAATAACCTCCACAATGACCATATTTTATACCAATAGAGCAGCTTAGGATGTCACATAGTGTAAATAATTTGTCACAAAATAAGAATGCCAATGTCTTTGTGTATTTTATCCTTGGTAGTATTTTAAAATATGCATGAATCAGTTTTATTGGACTTGTTTGTATATTTTTGTTAAATTGTCAAAAAAAGAAAACAAAAAATGTGAATAACGTTTAACAAATTTGCAAAAATGTCAGATAGAAACTTATAATATCAAATTGATAATTTGACCATTTATAGACAATCAATAATCACAACTAGTGGTGCAATTATCTGTAATATACACTGTATATATGAGCAATATCACACTCGTAGTATTGCGATGTGGCTGTGGCTCTTTCACCATTCATTCACATCTGCAGCTGACCATCAGGACAGCAGAAATCGTTACTAATTCACCACCGTCATTTTAGAGCTAGTATTTGATTGATTCTACAGCGTAATGTCTAAAGTCATGACAAAACAGGTGATTTTGCTGACATTTCAAGATTATGAGGCTGAACGTGACATGAAATGCCATCCGTCTACAGAGATTTTCCAATATTTCTCTGTTGGAATCAGGATTTCACAATAATTAACCCTGAAAAAATTAAAGCAAAGCAATCATACCAGAGTACGGTTGTGTTTGCGATTAGGAAAAAGGCTAAGCACGCTAAACACATTTAGGCATTTCTTCTTTCTTTCTGTTTACTGAACTAGTCTGCAGTAACAAAAACAGGAGACTAATTTGAAATAAGCCAACCAAAAAGTGACTCTGGGTTTAAAGATTGGCCAACACAAAATTCACATATTCCTAATTTGGGAGTCCCATCTCACACTCAATACACTACAATTACTATAGTATAAATACAGCACTACAACATACAAATGAGAAAGACTGACTTAGAAGGTCATTTACCAGTTTAATAATGATTTGATCAGGTATTGTTTAAAATTATGCTAAGTTTTTCCTGCTCTAAGGACTTATTATGCGGTCTTTGTCTTGTTGACAGAGCTGTGTCTTAAAAATTAAAATATTAATAAAATTAAAAATAGGCACTTTCTGAATAAGGGCACTTTTAGCCTTGTGAAGTTGAGTTTAAAAAAAATGTGTTCAAAATTGAGTTTAAACAATTTGTCTAGTTTTAAGATCTGTAAGAGGACAAACATAGATAAGAAGAGAATAGTTTTTTTTCCCATTGTGAACTGAACAAATGTCAATTCCACCACATCTCAATATACAGCTTATTCCAAAATGAAATAAATTATGGCAGTCAAACACTCACTACATTTACATGGAAATTAGCAATCAAATTATTTGCTTTAATCTAATGAAGACAATAATATGATTAAGGTATTTACATGATTTTCTTTTTTAATGTTCCTTTCATGATGCCGTTTTTTACATGTTATAGCACATAATTAGATTAACGTCATTGCGTCACCATGCTATCCGCATTTCCTCTGGAGTTTCATGTATTTGCATGTGTTTTATTTTTAATTTGTGGACTTTAACTGCAGTTTGGCATTTTCTTTTACCAACATTTCATGCACGCACTCTGAGTACTCTGAGCACTCTAATCAGAGTATTGTCTTAATTGCATTAAAATTAAATTATTGGTGTCCATGTAAACATAGTCATTGTCTATGATCATTATTGCATCTAGTTTAACCAATCTTTCCGTTAAAAAAACGTTTAAAAAACGTGTGTGGTGATGGAAATGACAGTGGTGGAAATGACATTTCAACAGTTTATTGTGAAAAATGAAACTAGCTTCACTAATTAGCTTTGAATTGACACTAGCCTTTCGTGTTTACAAAACACCCTTATTTGCCTTATTTTTGTTTGGTTTTTAAAAAACATCTTTGAAGGTACAACATGTTTAAAAATGAAGAAGAATAAATGTATTTCCTTATCAAGCAATATTACCACAACCTTCTTACAACAATACAACCTTAATTCTTCTTCAAGTGTTGTTAATAAAAATTTAAATTCCCTTCATCTTGAACATGTTCTCAGATGGCATTTTTAATTTTCATAGAAACCATCTAAATAATCTTTTCCACAAACTTTTTAAGGCAACATTACAATGTTGTGGTGGAAATGACACTGATACTGTGCGACAGCTATATTTTGTATAAAAAAATAATATTGATAATAGTCTCACATAAATAACTATAAAATGTTTAAATTATTTCACTAGTGCCTAATTAAGATGCATTAATAGATACCAGATAAATAATATTTTAAAATGTTAACGTTTAAGTTTAAAACTCTGGGTGCGACAAGGTGAAAGCAGTGATTTTCTACCTTTTTTGAGGGTAGTAAAAATTTTTTAAGTAGGTTTATTGTTAGATTGACAAAGAAAGAGGAATTTGAACAAAATTATATATATATATATATATATATATATATATATATATATATATATATATATATATATATATATATATATATATTATTGGATATATGGTCAAAGGACAAAAAAGTGCCCATAGTTGAAGAATTATCCATAAATAAACTGCATAGTTGCAATCTAAACAACTACATTCTCATTTACATTTACATTTAGTCATTTAGCAGACGCTTTTATCCAAAGCAACTTACAAATGAGGACAAGGAAGCAATTTACACAACTATAAGAGCGACTAAAAAAGCCTCAAAAGTACATTATATTGTCCCACAGCTGCAATACTTGTCGAAATGTAGTGAGTTTATTGATCTGCTGTCACTCAATGTGGGCGGAGTAATACAGAAAGGTAAGGAGGCTGTATGTGTTCTGAAATTACTAAATATCACAGGGCTATCAGCAAATCAGATTCGAGATCCAGACAGAACCAGACATTACTTACTTTATAAAGCTGGTTGAAAATGTTTAATTTTCTAGTGTCCTATCATTTCTTATCTTTAAATTATTATTAGGTTTAAAAATATATATTATCTTAAATTATCTTTATTGTTATGTTAAATCATTTTTAATTAAAAATACCATGTAACATACTGTTCCTGTTTAAAGATTAGCTAATGCATACCCTGTGGTAATGATCTATCATTAATGAGAAAAGCACTAAAAGATAATTAAATAACTGAAGAAGAATCTGTGTTAGTAAAAGTGAAATCTTTTTTATCCTGTAAGGCAACCTGACAGAACACGATGGTCCATAAACTGTATTAATATCATATTCTCTAACTAAAACACTTGCATTTGCATTAATGTATGCACTGTGTTATAAAACTAAGGTCCCAAGCATTCTCTATGAATACTTTGATGAGAATTTGACATTTTAATATTTGTACAACAAAAACAACGCGATGATTTCAACTCAAGTGTGCTTTTCTACCAAAAGTCCAATACAATTGTACTCCAATCATCTGTCAACTAACGAAAACCAAAGAAAAATGTAAAATGAAAGCTACATCTTGAGCAAATATACTGAAGCCCAAACCACACATCGCTACAAAACAGACAGAACGTGTACGAATATATAGTGTAATCATACAATTGATTAACATGTAATATAAATTAATATATGTAATTCATACATACCACTCTCATGCAGAAAAATATATCTTAGCAAGCATGCCTTGCATTACAGTCCCTTTTTGACAACATGGGCAACTCAAGGGCACATGTCACTACATTCAGTGTTTTGCATCATCAGAACATGTGGTTTACGTCACTCTCCTGCGCCGATGTTGATGTTAGGAATGCTAGGCTAACTGGCTGCACTGAGTGTTTTGTCCGACTCGTTCGTGTTGCAGATACACGAGATGAGTTTTAGATATTGAGGCACCGGTATAATTTTGTACGCAGCGTATTTATTTTAGGTTTAGAGAGTAGAGGAGAGGAATACGAGAGGAGGGTGAGTGTTTTGCTAACATTTGTTAATTGACAAACATGACTTGCTAAGTTGTTATCAGCCTCTAAAGTGTAAAATTGTGTTTTTTTCCCGGTTTGGCTTGTTGTTATCTGTTTATTTTGTTTATAAAATGACAACGATGACGGTGTTTGCTTTCTTGTTTCTGTTTTGTTCACGACAAATCATTTTAAGCTATCGTTAGTTTTGGCGTTATTGTTTCGTTCACACTGCATTAAATATAACTTTGTCATGATTCATTTAACAATGAAAGACCTGAACTGTAATTGTACTGCATGCATCACATGATAGCACTGTCTAGTGTTGCTCCTTAATTAAAAATCTGGGAAAATGATGGAAAATTTACTGTTGGATAGATAGATAGATAGATAGATAGATAGATAGATAGATAGATAGATAGATAGATAGATAGATAGATAGATAGATAGATAGATAGAAATAATGAAAGCTGAATGGATGGATGGATAGACAGTTAGACTAACAAATAGATATACAGTCAGATAGATAGATAGATAGATAGATAGATAGATAGATAGATAGATAGATAGATAGATAGACTCAAACGGATGTACAGTCTGAAAATTAAATATTCAAATAGAAGCATAGATATATGTTTGGATAGATATACTGATAGATAGACTGACAAATAAATAAACAGTTTGATAGATAGATAGATAGATAGATAGATAGATAGATATACAGATTGACAGTCAGATAGACAGCTGTACAAACAGTCAGTTAGACAGTCAGATGGTTAGATATGATAGATAGCCAGACAGTCACATAGATAGATAGATAGATAGATAGATAGATAGATAGATAGATAGATAGATAGATAGATAGATAGATAGATAGTCAGATAGATAGATAGGCAGTCAGATACATAGACAGTTACATATATAGACACTTAGGAAGAAAGTCAGATACATAGACAGTTACATATATAGACACTTGGGAAGAAAGTCAGATACATAGGCAATTACATAGATAGATAGATAGATAGATAGATAGATAGATAGATAGATAGATAGATAGATAGATAGATAGATAGTCACATATATAGACCGTCAGATAGACAGATAGTCAGATAGATAGACAAACAGATAGATTAACAGTCACTTAGACAGTCAGATAGATAGTTAAACAGTCAGAAAGAAAGATAGACAGTCAGATAGATAGACCGTCAGATAGACAGATAAATTGATAAATGAGACTATTTTTTTATTAAATGTGTATATATATATTTAAATGCCGCATACTTGTGTAGCTTACCTGAATGTTCTGTGTGTGTTTGCTCAGGAGCCCGATGCAGTCAGCTGCAGAGACTGTGGAGAATGCCTCCATCCTGTCAGGTGGCTCGGCCCAGGACGGTCATCGGCTGTGGATCGGCAACATTGACCCCAAAATCACAGAGTGAGTGTTTGTCTGCACAGAAAGCCAGCACCGCACTGCCTCCCAGGCAGACCTGCGGACCTGCCCGGGTGATTGATTAGCCGAGTGTGTCTTTGTGCTGGAGAATGAGCAGATGACGACAAGCCGTGTTAAAGAGAGCCGCTCGGCCGTGGAGACCTGTTTTGCTGAGGGGCTGCCATCATTTCTCATTCACCTGGTGTGTTTACTTTGTGAACCTGTAGCGGCTGCTCAAGGTGGAGAGGGGGGAGGCTCGTGACACCGAAGGGAAGCGCTGGAGATATAGCACACGTTGCAAGAGCGGTCCTGGAAAATGTACGGCTTGCCTGGGCTGGCGTCTAGACAGGCGTTTCCTTCCCTCGCGCTCCTCTGTTTTTCTTTAAATAACCTGCTTGAATGAAAACAGCCGTGATGCCCACAGGCTGGTGATTGGGAAGATTAATTAGTTCACATGCGGGGAGTGTTTGTAGTAGTGAGTTCCACTTGAGGGTCCTGCAGATCTTGCGCGCACACTCACACACCGAGTGGTGAAGTCTGCTATGTGAGGTCAGCATTCACCCAAAGGCATTTTTTCCTCCAAGTAAGTGGATAATTGAGAGCAGTAATTGAGTTGGGAGGCAAAAAGGTACTTTAGATTCTGCACTGTGGCAGTTTAGCAAAGGAATTGATCATCTGAGAGATTTATGAAGAAACTTTAGGAAAAAAAAAAGATTTGGTGGTGATGAAGCATATGGGCACAGTAGAATAACTGTTTACAGCTGTCCGGGCAGTTTTTGTCTTGTTTACATGTATTAATGTGATTCTCTGCTGATCCAAGCACAAGGGGTGGGTGGTGATTAGGCTTGGGCGGTATTACGGTATTTTGGTATACCGCGGGATCTAAAAATAGCAACGGTGTCAGTTTCAATACCGTTATACCGTCATAAAATATTAAATATCCTTTATTTAATGCCTACAAAAACGTATGTGTGGTTGTCATCACGGGACAGTGTGGAGGAGAGAGGGAGAGGAAGAGGGAGAGGGAGGGAGAGAAGGGGGAGAGGGAGGGGGAGAGGTGACGTGACGAGTCGCGCTTCAAAGTGTCCTGCAGTTTGGGAGTTTCGACTGAACAGAAGGGAGACATGGTTAATATGAACGAGAGGTCTGCATTAGAGCTAAAGATCTTTGACCGAACCCGGCGAGACCCGAAAAAATCCAAATCCCTGCATTAAAATCCATCCCTGCAAAGGTGAAACAAATGATGACGAAGTAGTAAAAAAAAGAGAATTTTGACGGCGGTCAAGTCAGTCACTAGCTCATAAGGAGCGGTTATTCCAGCCGCAGGTATTTCGCGGTCGCTCATACACTGCGTATTACGGTAGAGCCTTAAACCGCAAGCTGACAGGTAAAAAGAAGAGGCCATTCGCTAAAGTGAAACTGCTGTCATGGAAAATTAAATGCATGTTCCTGACTGGTAGAAGATGAACAAACAATCCTACCAAAAACTTGCAAAATCAGCCGGATCAGAACTCTGCATCTCGACCTGTAGCCGCAGGAAAGGGTGTTCAGCTGCTGGACGCACCATGAGTGAGAGACTGCGCTAAAGCCAGTGGATTTAATAATGTTCCTCCACAAACACACGTAGCCTAATCTTGGTGCGTAAAGGGTTTTAAAATTATAAATAAATATTGATTAAACCATATAATCATAATGTAGACAGAGTATACAGACTAATGGTGGCATTATTCTTTTATTATTCAGCTTCACCGCCGCCTTAATGCTAGATTGTGAAGAGAAGTGGAGAAACACATCTTGCACAGCCTTTATCTTAATTTCGTTATTGCCAAAATACCCGTCATCATTTAGAGTTTATTTTAATTTGATTTGTTAAGCAAGATTACTTTTCATTGGTGTGTGGGCTAATTTAAAGGCTAAGTGCATGTACATAGAATAGAGTGCTGAGATGTTACGATGTTACAGCTGTAGGACTTATTTTATTTCTTTGTTCCAACTTTCAAGTGGCCTATAGTCTACGCTTGTTACGAATAAATGATGTTAAAACATATAAATGACTCATTTTTGAAAAAAAATGCATTAGAAATGTGAGCATGAGAACATTTCAATCTCGGCTGTGAACGGGTTTGGGCTGTATAAAGCTGTCAATCAAAATGTACCTGTCGGACTCGGGACCTATCGGGTATAACTGCTGTTCCGCGGGAGCCAGCCAGATTTCTTACGGTGTGGGAGTAAATTTCTGAATAAATCGCGGGAGAGATGTGTGTGTGTGTAAAAGGGAGAGAGAGAGAGAGAGAGAGAGAGAGAGAGGTGCTGTCGTCGCTTTGCGCTCTCTCTCTCTCTCTCTCTCTCTCTCTCTCTCTCTCTCTCTCTCTCTCTCTCTCTCTCTCTCTCTCTCTCTCTCTCTCTCTCTCTCTCTCTCTCTCTCTCTCTCTGACCGCGAGCCTAAGGTCGCATAGAATGTATTCAGTTTCTGAATGGTTTAGGCTTAAGCCAACAGTTTGGTGACGCTGTCTGAGCCTTACGTCATAATTTTTTTTTTATTACGCCGGTAATACCGGATACCGGGGTAAAATATGGAGGCGGTTTGACGGTATCAAAATTTGGATACCGCCCAAGCCTAGTGGTGATAAATTTTTTTAATAGATGTTGCTCTGGAAAAATTAACAGATTGCTTCAGAGTTGTTTTCAGTTCTCTGGATTTTCCATTAAAATGTTATGAGTAAATTGTCTTAATGAATATTAAATATTTTAATTTAGATTATCAGAAAAAAAACTATAGGTCAATAATAAAATGTTAGTTAGTTAGTTAGTTAGTTAGTTAGTTAGTTAGTTAGTTAGTTAGTTAGTTAGTTAGTTAACCTTATTGGTCCCCGTGGGAAAATTTCATTTCATTTGCAGCATAAACTCACAGAGACATCTGACCTTTAACATTTGGCTTACAAATAAATAAATCATAATAAAACATGGTTCCCCTATTCTAAATAAATATCCAGTCTACTGGCCATCAACTGCAACTGAGGGAGGAGGAATTTAAAAACTTGATTAGTTGGGGTATAAATGATATTTTTGTCCTGTTTCTTACACATCTGGGAACACAATATCGACGACCTAATGGTAACAATTGCAAGATGTTTGATAAGGGATGTCACTCATTATTTACAATCATGATAGCCTTATTTAGTACTCTTTCCTTGTATATACTATCAATGCTCTTTAGTTTTATTCCCAACAACTTACTGGCTGTTGTTACCACCTTCCCCTGTGACCTCTTCTGGGCCTCAGAGGCATTTCCATACCAATGGATCAAACAAAATGTTGCAATACGTTCATTAAAAGCACTATAAAACATGATCAAACATGTATTCTTAACATTAAGTGAAGTTTATTTATAAACTAATTTCGAGAGGATCACGTGATTATGATTGAACATGGCTGGTTCTGTATAAGCTATGTATGATCCACCAATCAGGCCAGTCCTAACCCACTATAAAGAGCCAGGGTTTCTCACTACAGCCATCTTCGATTTGAAGAATCCCCCCTTCCACCCCTACTTCTCCACCTTTCCCTTCATAGGACGGCACGGTGGCCCAGGGGTTAGCACTGTTGGCTCACAGCAAGAACGTCACTGGTTCTAGTCCTTTAACAGTCCGGCTGTCATTTCTGTGCGTAGTTTGCATGTTCTTCCCGTGCCACATTCCAAAAACATGCACTACAAGTGAATTGATCAACCTAAATTTAGCACTGCAGTCAATCTCTCATCCTGCAGCATATCTCTTCATAGCATTAATTTTAGTCATCAGCTCTTATCAAGTGGGGAGTTGTCGAGATCTACCTGAGCTCAAAGCTCCCCTCTTGCCCTGCAAACGGGAGGGAGCCCAGGGCTCAAGGACCTTTTGGGCTCAGGGCTCTCTTCCGGGACAGCATGCCAAACTTGCTTATAATCAATCATCAGCTAAGTGTGAACTCTTGAAAAGACAGTAGTTTATTCTCTGTTGAAGCTTTTTCTTTATACAGTCAGTCCATATGCCCCACTTAAGTTTACTGTCCAACATCACACCCAAATATTTATAATTTTTTACTAACTGAATTTTGCATTAATAATTGTGGGATAAGTTTTGCTTTGTGCTCTCTCTCTAAAATCAATAACCACCTCCTTAGTTTTAGGAATTTAGAGAAGGTTTGAATTTTCACGCCAGTCAAAATAAAAGCCAAGAACATGCCTGTGCTCTTCCTTCTCTTCATTTAAAAGGCTCACCAAAGCGGTATCATCTGCATATTTTACAATATGTCTATTTTTAAATGAACTTATACAAGAATTTGTTTATAAAATAAAAAAATAACGAAGATAAAACGCAACCCTGGGGAGCTCCAGCTGAAGTACACATTTTATCTGAAATAAAACCTCCTATTTTAACCTGTTGGATTCTAGAGCTAAGAAAATTGGACACCCAGGCAATTTATTTTAGGCATTTATTGTCTAATAAAAATTATTTTGTAAGTATAGCAGCTAATATGCTAGGAGAAATACAATTAAAAAAAATTTTATATTTCAAATATTCCATATTATCAGACCTTAAATATTTTTTCCCCTAATATATTTTCCCCTAATCCCTGATATAAAAATACCATAATATGTTTGCAAATATTTAAGAAATATGCTAAGTGAGCATAGCTTATCTGAAAAATAATGCTTAAGTCAGTAATTGTTCTCTGAAAATGAACATTTCTTGTTTGTCTTTGTTTTGGTCTGTGTAACGCCACCCACTGCCAGTTTACGCAATATTATTCCGGCAACCTGGGTTGCTTTGGCAAAAAAACCAGCATAATTAATTTCAGTCATGAAAGCTCCCTAAATATCTGCAGGAATAGCTGAAAATATGACCTTCGGAAGGCTGTAGCAGCCTCTGAAATGAGACGCAGATTTATTCATTTATTTTCTTTTTGGTTTAGTGTTGGTGGTCCTCGAGGAACGAGGATGAGAAACACTGTCTTAAAGTACCTGATAA